AATGATTGCCAGCCTACTAAATAAACTATACAAAAAAATTGTTCTAGACAGATTTATAATACAAAACAAAGAAGAAGTCAACCTAATATTAGAACCAAAGACAGTCCTAAATGGTTTGACAACTCATTTTAAAGACCAATTTAGAAAACAAAGAATCAAACTTGAAAAAATGACAGAAGAATGGAAAAGAGTATATAAACCAAAAGATTGGATTAAAGAAACCTAATATAAGAAATTGGAAGAAAAAATAGAAGAAAAAAAATAGGAAAAAATACTTAGAAAGCTCAAAGCGAATATAGTTCCAGGTATATCAGGCATAAGCTATACATTAATAAAGTGTGAGAAAAGAGATCACAAAGAATTTTTAGAACATTTGCGAATCTAATTCTGGAAAAAAGAGACATATCAAGAAAATGAAAAATAGTACAAATATATCCAATTCCAAAAGATGTAGACTGAGGTTATTGCTTAAACAATATCAGGCCAATAGCATTAATCAAAACCTTTAGGAAAGTTGTAATGAAAGTAGTGACAAAAAGATTAGCCAAAGTGTTCACAGAAAGAAATATACTCAAAGGGCCAAATTATGCAGGCTTGCCAGATAATTCAACAGAGCAACCAATACATATACTAAACATGATAATGGAAGAGGCACGAGAAAAAAACAAAGAAATATGGATACTGTTGCAAGATATGAAAAAGGCATTTGATTCAGTTCCACTAGAAAGCCTAGAATGGGCCCTAAAAAGAGTCAAGATTCTACAAAAAACAAGAGAATATATAAGCAATATCTTCTGCAAATGACAATTCAAAGTTATTACAGTTTATAGTTTAACAGATAAAATAGCTGCAGAAGATGGAATAGACCAAGGAAAAGTAATCTTACCACTAATTTGGCATCTTTTCTATGACTCATTGTTAGAAAGAATACAAGAAGATGAAATACTAGGCTATACAGTAGAACAAAAAGTAACAGAAAGAATATGCAGTGATAATGTTACAAGTTATAGACAAGTAGCAATTGCATATGCAGATAACACAACATGGATCATGAACAGCAAAGAACAAATACTAAGAATTCTAAGCATTGCAGAATAATTTTTTAAAGCAAACAACATTGAAATAAATCAATGCTCATAGTAATGAACACAAGAATAAAAGAAGAAGAAAGAGAAATCATATTTGGGCATAGTAAAATAAGAGAAGAACCCAAAAGCAAAATTGTAAAATCATTAGGAATCTGGCTAAACAGCAGAATAAAGAAAGCACTGGTCTGTAAGAAATCAAAAGAAATTGTTAGTCAAACAGTCAAAGATCTGAGATACAAAAAAATGATGATAAGCCAAATTGCATATATAAACAATACAGTAATAATTCCTAAGCTAAGTTATCTTTTATAGCTAACAAAAATGCCAGAGAGAATGATTGTCAAAATTCACCAACCACTAATATGCTTAGTGAAGCATAAATGCAATATGATGAGAACAGCAAACAATTGCACAATTGAGCACAAAGATCTAGAAAACTGCAAAACACTAAGTCAAGAAATAATGGCAAAACAAATAAGTAGCCTTTTTATAAGACTCAACAGACAAGACAATGTAGATGAATTAACAAGGCTCAGAATAGCTCAAGGATGTTAAAAAGCAGGCCTAACAGAAGACATTTGGGACAATAAAAAAAAAATAGAAACTGAGAAGTTTTGGAAAAACAACTTAACCTGTTGAACAATAGCTAAAGCAAAGAAAATAGGAATAAGCATTAAAGCAGAAAAACCTCTATGGAAAGTTTACAGTTATAGTAAACAAATAAAAGACATGTTAAAAACAAAAACATGGATAGCAAGTAGTAGCACAATAAACAAATAGGGGTTACTATATCTGAACCAACTTATAGACATTAAAGGTGACAACCTGATCACATGAAGACAGCTTAAGAGCCTTTAAGGCCTGTCATGCAAAGGAAAGAAGGCTAAATAGTTCAGAGAGATAGAAGAAAAAATGCTAAGAACACAAGCGAGTAGAGAAATACAAGATAATTACAAAGTAAGAAGATACAATATACAAGCATTAAAGATTAAGTGGACAAAGATATCTGAAGACTGAAGAAAAAAAGAATGGATCACTTATGGACCAAAACATAATCAACAATTAGACAAAGTAATTAAGAAGAAAAAGAAAAAAGTGTTAACAAAACACTAGTCAATGCATACAGAAAAAGAAAGAACAGTAACAGAATTAAGTTTATGCAAAGGTTGTAAAAACGGTTCAGAACAAACAACTAACAAGTGTGAAAGATGGATAAGACGAGACCACAATATGAGAGTAATACCAGAGTTACTAATAGAAAAAGCCAATAATAGAATCAATGCAACACTAGAACAAATACAAGAAGATAGAGTAATAGATGAATGGAAAGAAGATGAAATGAAGTTGTTAGGAATAAGACAAACAAAAGAATTAGAAGTAGAACTGATTAGAAAACAAAAACTAAACAGCACGATTACAAATCAGTTAGTAGAGATATTAATGTGAAACAAGAAGAAAGACAAGAGAAAATATAGCTTTTATACTGATGAAGCACTATACAAGAGGAAAGGTGAAAACAGCACAGAAAGAATGGGCATCAGTTGGGTGCAAATAGAAGAAGAAGAAGATTGACCAGAGGAAGAAATCACATTGGGACTTGAAGGTTGGCCTTCAGCAACAATAGCAGAATTAGCAGCAATATGGATAGCAATCTTAACAGTATCAGAAAAGAAAAGTGTAGAAGTGTTTACAGATAGTATTGCAGCATTAAGAAACATTAGTAGAGCACTACAGAATATAGAAGAAGAAAGAACTCTAAAGAAAAAAAAATGCAATATGGATACTAAGCATTGTAGGTCTAATTAAGAGCAAGAACATTAAAATAGAATTAATCAAGGTTAAAATCCATAGTGAAAACAAGTGGAATAACAAAGCAGACTCTCTTGCAAAGAAAGAAGCAAATTGCCAAGATAAAATATATGTGGATAAAGTCAAAAGTAACAAGATAGAGTACCATTTAGAATGAGAAAACAAGAAAATTGACATACTGGCAAGACTTCTGTGTAAAATAATAGCAAATGCCAGAATAGAAGCCAGTTGAAGAGAAATGAACCCAATACGAACATTAGAACCAGATACAAAAAATGCATTATATAATTAGTTGAGCTTTTGAAAAGAAATGAATATAACAAAAGAAGTATATTGTATGTCAAAAAAACTTAGCACAAGAAGAGCTACAGCAATTAAATGCATAATGGATAGCCTACCAACGCTTGAGGAGCTAAATAAAAGAAGACCAGAAGTATATACAATGGCAGAGTGCCAAGTATGCCAAGTTAAAGAAAAAGAAACTCAGGCACATTTAGCGAGTTGCAATGGACAAAAAAGCCTGTGAAAGCAAATTCAAAAGATTGCAACAGCAACAGCATGGAACAGACTCAAAGAAGAGGAAAAAAACAGAATTTTATCACAAGCTCTATACAAGGCACTATTTAGAGAAACAGAAACTGAAGAAATCATAAACAGAAGAGTGCTAATAAAGGGACTCATGATGTTAAAAGTAGAGAAAAGACTCGAGCGACTCTTAAACAAGCAGGCAACACAGAAGTGCATAGATATAGTAACAAGAACAGTATAGAACATCTTCTATGACCAAATATGAAGAATATGATATGAAAAAATACAAGCCTAGGAGAAGAAGATCAATATAACAAACAAAATGAAAAAAGGCACCTGTGCAAGAGTTAAAACAAAGAAGAGAGTAAAGAAAAATAAACAAGCAAAAGAAGAAAAAAAGAAAGAAGCTATGAAAACAATAAATATGCTTGTCACAAAAGGGTGAAGACCTTTCTGGTATGACTTTAAGTAGTTAGATGAGCAGTCTATCTTTAACTAAGATAGTGCGGCAGGTTGACTTAGGTACCATTAGGATGGCTGAGTAATGCTAGACTTAGATATTAGGAAATTCTATATAATTGTATAAACATATAGTTTCAAGAATTTTAATAAAGTACTAGCATAACTGCTTAAAAATAAAAAAAAAAAAAAAAAAAAAAAAAAAAAGATATTGTATAAGGCTTCAGTGCAAACTTGTGATAAGACTACCAGGTATAGAAGGCTAAGAAACTAAGAAGACAGAAACCCATTTGAAAATTTTGAGTACAGAAATAGCACAAACTTTGATGATACTATTGGACTGATGTAAGTCTATGAAACATCTTTATAAGAACTTCAAATAAACTGAATGACAAGATGTGTAGAGGAGCATATGACCAACCAGGCTGCTGAAATCGTTGAAAAAAAAGGATATATAAATATACTATACTGGGCTATCTGGATTGGAAGTCTAAGAAGTCGATTAGTTCTAAGTTGCAGCTAGGGTTCGGAATGGGCCGGGCTAAACCTGCGGGTTTGTGGGTTGGGTGGGGTTTGGGTCAAAACCGGGTTCAATATTTTGGCCCGTTTATAAAGTGGGCCAGGTTTATACCGGGTTTATTAAATACCGGGTTTGGGTCAGGTTTTAGAAACAGGCCCGCGGGTCCCCGCAGGGCCCATTATAATTTCTTATATAAATAAATAAAAAAACAAGTTTAAAGCTAGTATTGGCAAAACTTTAGTTCGTAGTTCACTTAAATTCTAATACTCATTTACTAATATAGATACAATTATCTGCATCTATAGTTAAGCTTATTTTTTAATAATTTAAATATATACCAGTACATCGTATATGTATTTATTAGAGAGCTAAGTTTTAAATTTTTTAATTTTGATTATTTTTTCTAGTGCTTGAAGGCACTTTTTTAATGTCAAATGAGAATTTTTTTAATACGGAAAAAAAGCATGTGAAAGATATCTTAAAATCTTACATGTTTTTTTTTTTTTTTTTTAAAAAAAAAAAAAAAGAACCATTATTAAACCTTTGGTCTTACTCCATTAAAACAATTAATATAACGCTTATAACAATAAGTAATTATGGCTTCAGTCGTTAGTGATAGCGAAGATATTGAAATAACCTTTGCTGAAAACAAAAGTACTGAAGTCACTACTGCTGAAAGTGCTGAAACAACTCCTGCTAACAAGAAGCGTAAAGTTGGGAACCTTCATTCATAGGTCTTTAAGGAAGGGCATTTTATTAAGGATGATTCTTTGCCACGTAAGAATTTAGTTAATTACATATATTTAGCAATTTGTATTTATTAATATTTAAGGCCACTTACTTCACTTCGAACAATTGAAATTATTAGCAAACAGTGCACAATGTACATATTGTAAAAAAAAGTTAAAACATGACAATGATACAGGAACAAGCTCTTTGATTAGACATTTAAAAAATACGAATTGTAAGAAGCACCTTAAGAATGAATCGCAACAAGAATTACAGTTTTCCCCAACAGGTGTCACTGCTTACAATTTCTCTCAAGAAAAAAGCCACCAAGACTTGGCAAACATGATCGTAATGCACGGATATCCGTTTCACATGGTCTAGCATAAAGGGTTCTTAAAATTTGTTACTAATTTAAGACCGCAGTTTAAAGTGATGAGCAATAAGACAACTCGTGAAGATTGCAAGAAACATGTTACTGATCTTAAAAAAAAAGTTAATATGATGATATGGGAAACTTCTGGACGTTTAAGTTATATGACTGATCTATGGACATCCAACCAAAACCTTGGATACATGGCTATTACAGGTTTATATATTTTAATATAAATTTTTATTTTTTTAATTATTTAATGATTACTATATATCTCTATTAGGCCATTTTGTTGATAAGGATTGGAACCTTCGAAAACTAATCTTGGGGTTTAAATTAGTTCCTGCACCGTATACAGGATCTGTGATTTGTGATACATTTTTTAAGTATCTTGAAGAGTGGAATGTTGTGCCTAAAGTAAGTATTTAGCAATTCAGCAATTTTTTTATAAGTATTTGCTAATATTCTTTTACAGACATTAGCAATTACTTTGGACAACGCGACTAGCAACGATGCTGCTATAAGCAAAATAAAGCGCAAGTTAAATGAACAAAATATGCTCGTTGCAAATGGGGTCCTTCTGCATCAGTGTTGTAGCACCCATATATTGAACCTAATAGTTACTGATGGGCTTAAAGTAGTTGGGGATATTGTGAGCACAGTGAGGAAATAGTTTAATATTTTTTGTTGAATTCTAATATAACATCATCAACTTTCTCTAAACCAGGTTAGCTCCTGGTATATACAGTAAAACATATATAAATCACACACAATCTACGTTTACTTTGGTCACAAATTTTATTAATACTATATCAATTATGTATTATAAAAGGCTATTATCACTTTTACTTTTAAATTTAACAAGCAATTTAGAATCTTAGCTTGATATTTGGTGAATTTTTTCTAGGAAAAATTTTTGGAGTATAATGAGAAAAATTGAAAGGCATAAATCCTCGTTCAGTGCTTGATACATTAGAACAACTTTTGATAAAGAAGAGGCAAAATCTATTTAATATCATCAATTTTTGTTTTGATAATCAAATCAATCCTACGGTTCAAATTATTCTTGCAAATTGTTATCAATTTGGTTGTAATCAATATAACATCGCTAGCTTGGAATCAAACATGTTAACCCCAAAACAGCACAAGAATGAGCAAGTAGAAATAAAAATATGGATGATTGTATTGAAAATTTTCAAACTATGAAGATGCATTGGATGATTAGTAATAAGAAACTGTGCAACTTATGGTTAGATATGAGGAATTACTTAACTAATAGATAATTTACTAGTAATTAAACCTGATAACGTTTGTGATTCAAACGAAAATTTGCAAGAATTTGTCCAAGAATTGAAGAGTTACTGTAAAATTTGTTACGAGAATCCTTCGTTCTTGAAATGTCACGGAGTGTCAAGAAATAGTTATGATGATTATATTATTGTTATGAGGGTTGCACCAGAAGGTTTGTTACGACAAAATCTTGTGTATATACATTAAGAAAGCATGAGCAACCAGGATAAAATAAAAGCATTTGAATAATATTTGAAATCAGCTAATGATGATGACGTTATTATTAATATGACATAGAAATCAGCTGATGATGATGGTGCTATTACCAATATGACATAGATATTGCTAAAATGTTTAAGTGGGATTTAACGTCTGTTATAAGTGCATATATAAAAACAGTATATTTTTAACATTACTTAAATTTATCTGAAGGCTCAGTTCAAAATAAGAAAAAGAAGAAGCATTCGACTAGTAATTGATTAGAATTTATGGAGTTTTACCGTATATGGCACTATAAGTTTCGTGGGGAAAAGCCATTTACCAAAGCATCAAATTTATTCTTTTAGAATGATTATGTGAGAATTTCTTTAGTGAATATTGTATAATAAGTTTTACAAAAAAGGTAAAAAAATTTAAGATTTGTGAATAAATTTTATGTTAGTTCAGTATGATTAAAGTGGTTATGTTATTTACAATAAAATAATATCTTTTAGTTTACCATAATTAGTGCATATGGATCTGGTTTAAAGAGAGTTGATTTACTTACTTGCAACTAATATTATAGATCCGAGATTGTGTGAAGTGGATTCACAGTTCAGAACGTCGATAACAAAACTTCAAGGATTCTGTAGTCAGGTTTTGCAGTGAACTTATTTCAAGCCAGCGACCAGCCCTTGATGTGGTAACACGCTGAAATTCGACGTACGTAATGTTATCATCTACTATCCCCTATAGAAATGTATTTGAACGTCTTACATTCAGAGATGCTAGTTTTGAGCCAATTGCACCACTTGACGATGACTGGGAAAAGGCAGAGAATCTTTGTAATTTTCTAAAGCCATTCTATAAAAGTAGGTTATATACTGAATTGTTTATGTATTTTATTATGTACACAAATTAAATAGCACTACACTTTAATCAGTTACCAATGTTGTATTAGGAAGCTCCTATTCTACAGCAAATATTTTTCTTCCCCAATTGTTGAAAATTAGAATGCACCTCGAACGAAATGCTACTAACGCAGATCCCTTTCTTTCTCAAATGATTATTCCAATGCAAACAAAATTTAATAAGTATTGGGCAGATGCAGGAGATATGCACTGTATTGTCTCGATGTTAGATCCACGTTATAAGATATCGTTATTAACACATATATATAAGCAGAAGATGAACTTGTCATGTAATGAAGCAGAAGACAAAATATCTTCAATTAAATCGAGGTAAATATTATCTATACCAGTCAAAAATTTAACATAACGCATATTAGGTAACTACTAATAACTATATATTTACTATTATAGGGCTATGACCATCTACAATTCGACTTATAGACAGCATACAGTTGATACAGTAGTGATAGAAGATTTTTCAGATGTTTTTCAAGACGAAGAAATGCAAGACTTTTATGCATTTATTAATGCCAATGAAGCAAATGTTGAAAAGGAATTGAATGAATTTGAGCAATACTTAGCTGACCCACTATTTCCACGTTCTCAATTAGTGTCATTCAACATTCTTGCTTGGTGGAAATTAAATTCCCAAAAATATCCTTTGGTGTCGGCCATGGCGCGAGATATCCTCGCAATTCCATTAACTTCAGTGGCCTCTGAGGCTGTAAATGAACTTTAAAGCTCAATCTACTGCCTATGTATAATTTTTAGTTTCAACTAATTTATACTTTATATTTAGGCGTTTAGTATGGCTGGAAGACTTGTCGATGACTATCGGTCAAACCTTACTCTGGAATCAATCAAAATGTTGATCTGTGGTCAAGATTGGTTAAATGGTATAGACGAATGGAGTCAGTATTAAACTGGCAGTTTTTTTTTTGTGAATTTTTTTTGGAGTTTTTTTTCTTGGTAGCCTTTTTTTTCTTGGCGTCTTTTTTTTTCTTGGCACCTTTTTTTTTTTTGGTACCTTTTTTTTTCTTGGTGCCTTTTTTTTTTTTTGGTGCCTTTTTTTTTCTTGGTGCCTTTTTTTTTCATGATGTTTTTTTTTTAAGTAGAATGCTAGAAAATGAATTAAAATTTAATGATAACAAGGATTAGGAAACAAACATGCATATCTATCGATATTTCATTCTTGTCACTTTTCTTGTTGCAATTTAGTTTAAGGTCAACTTTTTTTAAAATATTGGCATTATAAAAATTTGTCCAGTACTAATTAGCTGGCAACTTAAGTTTCGCCTTCTAATCCATGTAGTTACAGACCTTTACAATACAGATTTTTATTTCAGCAATTTAAAATTTATGCCCTTATTTATTCTAATCGTTTGGAAACAATTGAAAAATGTCGAATTGACAAATTTTTCGATACTACCAGGGTTAGTGGTAACTTTGCCAATTGTAAGTTACCAGTAAGTTACAATAAGGCAAGTTACAAAGTTACCATTTAAGAACGATAATAAATAATAAGATAATTTATCATTTTAGTATCAGTAATCGTGATATAATTTTTGTTATAATTAAAAATTTTATAAACTGCTGGGCCGGGTCGGGTTAGACTGGACCGGGCCATAATTTGAAGTATCCTGGCCCAGCCCAAACCTGTAACTTTTGTTGGGCCGGGCTCGGGCTTGGGTGTATAAAATCTTTATGGGTTCGGACTTAAATTTAGAAATACCCGGCCTGACCCAGCCCATTCCGAACCCTAGTTGCAGCTAGTAGAAAATGATAAAAAAAAAGTCAAAAAGATGAATATCAGGATTTGAGTAAACTTTACAAGAGTAATAATAGTTTAAAGAATAACTCTGATTGCAAGTGTTGGTCTTAGCCATAGTGTTAAATCAGGTTAGCAGTAAAAAGGAATATGGCTCACTTTGGTAGGTTTATTTTGAGAATAAAAATAGTCTAAGGATTATAGTTCTATGGTTAAAAGTGAATAGATTTGAGTCTGTGATCTGGTGAAATTAATATCAGGATTAAATCAAAAGGTTTAAATAGAACATCTAAACAGGGATGTTAGGTATGACAACTGATAGGGAACCTTCAGGTGGACTTCTTAAATAGGTAATATAAAAAAGTTATATATGTAGCTAGTCATATACTTATCTGATAGTTCATTATAGATATGTCTATATAAAATATGTACCTGATATAAGTATTAATAAAAAGCTACAACCAAAAAGGTCATCT